TCAGCAAACTGACAGAAGAGCGGAAGATCAAACACCGCATGTTCTCACTCATAGGCGGGTGTTGAACAATGAGAACACATGGACACAGGGAGGGGAGCACTACACACTGGAGTCAGTTGGGAGGAAATAGGGGAGGGATGGTGGGGGGTGGGAGCTGGGGAGAGTTAGCAAGGGGAGAGATGCCAGATGTAGTTGATGGGGAGGAAGGCAGCAAATCACACTGCCACGTGTGTACCTATGCAACAATTTTGCATGTTATTCACATGTACCCCAAAACCTAAAATGCAATGAAATAAATAAATGGGGAAAACAAAAGACAGAGAAAAACAAATGCTGGCAAAATGTGGAGAAAGGGGAACACTTGTACACAGTTGGTAGAAATGTAAATTAGTACGATCACTATTGAGAACAGTTTGGAGATTCCTCCAAAGTTAAAATTGAGCTACTATATAATCCAGCAATCCCACTGCTGCATATATACCCAAAAGAAAGGAATTCAGTGTGTCAAAGAGATATCTACAATCCTATGTTTGTTGCAGCAGTGCTTATAGTAGCTAAGATTGGGAAGCAACCCAAGTGTTCATCAACAGATAAATGGATAAAGCAAATGTGGTATTTATACATGATGGAACACTATTAAGCCATAAAATAATGAGCTCCAGTCAATTGCAACAACATGGATGGAACTGGAGAATCATTATGTTAAATTGAATAAGCCAGGAACAGAAAGACTAATGTTGCATGTTCTCATTTATTTGTGGGATCAAATAATCAAAACAGTGAACACATTGTCATTGAGGCTGTGATTCCTGCCCCATATTCTTTAGAGTAGCTGGGGGAAGGGTAGTGGGCAGTTGGGAGGGAAGTGGACATGGTTAATGAATAAAAAAGTAGCAAGAATGAATAAGACTATTTGATAGCATAATAGGATGACTATAGTCAATAATAACTTAACTGTATATTTTTAAATAACTTTAAGAATGGAATTGGATTGTTTTTAACACAAAGGATAAATGCTGCAGGAAATGAATACCATGTTCCACATCATATGCTTATTTCATATTGCATGCCTGTATCAAAACATCTCATATAACCCATAAATATATACATTTACTATGTACCAACAAAAATTTTAAAATAGGGCTGGGCACGGTGGCTTATGCCTATAATCCCAGCACTCTGGGAGGCCGAGGCGGGTGGATCATGAGGGCAAGAGATCGAGGCCCACTTGGTCAACATAGTGAAAACCCGTCCCTACTAAAAATACAAAAATTAGCTGGGCATGGTGGCACACGCCTGTAGTCCCAGCTACTCGGGAGGATGAGGCAGGAGAATTGCTTGAACCCACGAGGCGGAGGTTGTGGTGAGCCGAGATCATGCCAGCCTGCACTCCAGCCTGGGTAACAAGAGCGAAACTCCGTCTCAAAAAAAAAAATTCTAAAATATAGTACATTTTAAAATTAATTCATTAGATTAGTGCAGCCCATTGTTTTTAGATAAGCTAAGGTTTAAATTGTGACATATTCTATAAAAAATGTTTGAACTTCAAATCGGTTTTTGTCTTGAGTCTCTTTAGCGGTGACAGCCAAAAAAGTGCATTAAGAGGAAACTCTACCAAGACATTTGAAAGGGAAAACACATCCTTTGCTTTGCTGTGTATCTGCCAGTCTTGAATATTTCTAGCTCTGTTCTCCAGAAAACTTGATAAAGGTAAGAATGTCTACTGCTTCTAAGGAAAGTTATTTGTGAATCGAATAACCTGTGATTGGTGCAGCACATCAGTATGTCGATAAATAATAAGTGAATTATTAATTCTTGATTGGAAGGAGTGGTTTTTGGGTTTCTCTGAGGACAGTGACTCTTGTAACTGGTTTGTTTCTTGTGCGACACTGAAAGACAGGCTTGTATCTTGTTACAAGAGAACACTGGCTCCTGCATGGTACGTGGCTTCTGAGCAATTGTGGACTCCACAGTCACCCATATGGATCTTACCTTCTGCAAGCCTGGCTGTTATCAGGTGAGAACTTAACTCCTAGAGGTCTGCTTTAAATGCTGCAAAGTGTTCTGTTGAAATAAACCTTTGTGCTGCTCCTCTGGTGATTCCTGCCCCATATTCTTTAGAGTAGCTGGGGTCACCCATGGCCTGGGACAGCTTTGGAAATCGGAATGTTTAGTTAGCAAAGACCACCACAAAACAGCAATATATTAAAAATGTCATTAATTTGTTTTATTTTTCTGACTTACATATTAATCCTTTCTTTTCCCAAAGGATGGAGGTAGAAGCCACACAAACTATGAATAAATATATTAGAAAACCCACAAGTATTTGAGAAGTATAAAAATATCACAGCAAATTTACAAGGTATTCATGGTATTGTCCAGATCCATTAACTCAATCACTTCACGAAATTTTTACTTCCAGTTACAGACACTCTAAATGACCAAAATTTGCATTGATCACTTATATAGAGTCTGAATATTTTAAATTACTGTATTATAATTCAGAAATGCAAATGAATAAATATGCATGTATATTTGTATATTCATTCAAATTTTTTTTGAGGGGTGTACATTTTATTGGAAACTTTAAATACTGTTCAGACAGAATGGATCTTCAAACAAGGCTCTTGTGTAGCCTACCCAGAAAAATGAAGCTTTCTGGATGAGGGGCAAGGAGAGGGACAGACACAAGAACCCCTCACGATGAATGCTCTTCAGCCAGCTTATCAGCTTTTGCCACAGCTTCTTCAATAGGTCCCACCATATAGAAGGCCTGTTCTGGGAGATGGTCATATTCACCTGCCAAAATCTGCTGGAATCCTTTGATGGTCTCCTTCAGGGGTACCAGCTTCCCCATATGACCTGTGAAGACCTCAGCAACCTGGAATGGCTGAGACAAGAAACGCTGTATTTTCCGTGCACGGGACACAGTCAACTTGTCTTCCTCAGAAAGTTCATCCATACCCAGGATGGCAATGATATCCTGGAGGGATTTGTAGTCCTGCAGGATCTTTTGTACCCCACGGGCAACATCGTAATGCTCACTGCCAACAATGTTGTGATCCATGATGCGAGAGGTGGAGTCCAGAGGATCCACAGCTGGCTAGATGCCCAGCTCAGCAATGGCACGGGACAGTACAGTGGTAGCATCCAAATGGGCAAATGTAGTAGCAGGGGCAGGGTCAGTCAAGTCATCAGCAGGCACATAGATAGCCTGTACAGAGGTGATAGATCCCTTCTTGGTGGTGGTAATTCTTTCCTGCATAGTACCCATGTCAGTGGCCAGGGTAGGCTGATAGCCCACAGCAGAAGGGATTCTGCCCAATAAGGCAGACACCTCTGAACCAGCCTGGGTGAAGTGGAAGATGTTATCAATAAATAGCAATTTTTATTTAAATGTATCATGGTCAATAGCAAGTGAATATATTAACTCTTGCTCTAGGGAAGTTTTTTTTCAGTATCAAATGACTACAATTATTGTGCTTATTTGAGCTGAGCAAAGATATCATGGATTTAGAATATAACTGTATTCTTTAAAAAATAGTTTTGGCTATTGTTTACCATAGGGAAAGTATTTATAACAGGATGAGTAAGATTGCGGGAGACAAGACTACACAGAACATATTTCTTCCTCCAGCAATAGCTGTAATTTATATGGACTAATTTCAGTATTCTTCAATTAAGTAAACAATAGTTCAAAATAATGGGGAGAGCATAAATTTATCTTCAAAATTAATTATAAGAGAAGAAAACTCTCATTAAATTAACATAAGAAGTAACTTTATTGGTAATTAGACCTTGCTTAAAGTTGTATTACATTAAAAAGTGTTCACACAAGACTTTAGGAAGAGAGAAAAAGTAATAACAACACACCTGAGTGTTATTTTCCTTTTTCAAAGTTGTAATGCCTTTTAAAAATCTTGTTTTAACCTATATGTTAGAATCACTTCTCAGGTAGATTTTAAAATCATTAACCCATATCAAAATAGTAGAAAATGAATTCTTCCTAAAATACACTCATTTTAACCATTTACATCTTCTTTCACTTCTTTTAATTTCATTGAAGCAAAATGTTATCATCCTTTTTCCTCATTGTCATCTATCTTTGGAATCTACAGATATTTCTATTTTTTTTTTCTTGAGACCAGAAGAGTTAAAAGAAGAGTCAGGCAAATAAGTAATTGCATTGCTTTTTATACTATGTTTTTGTGAATTGGCAGTGATCTTTCTTTTTTTTTTTCCATAACCTGAGTTTAATTTTCCCTTAGTTAATTTTTATTCACACCTTTCATATGTGCTGAGTTTAACACTGAAAATATTGCTTTTAAATGAAATTCAACCTCTTTGAGAACTCTTAGAAATGTTTGGCCTTGCATGAACAGAAGAACAGAAACCATGTAGAATGGTCTTGAAACTATAACATTTGAACTGTGTTGCTCCATGCAGAAAGAAACAGGTGTTTTAGAGCCAAACTAGTAATATAATACAAATAAAACTGTGGGTCACAGAAGAATCAAACAAGAAATTTAAAATAAATAGTATAAGAATAATACATAATTGAGATGTAGATAATCCAAATGTGTGTGTCAAATAAATTATTTAGTGCACTTTCAATATGAAATAAATATTACTTTATTTAAAAATGTCACCTTTCTATTTATGCAAACATCTTGATGTTAAGTTTCACTGGAAGTTATCAAAAAGTATGCCCCATATTTTGAATGCACAATAAGAATATGGTATCCATAATTTGAACAGTTCTGGGTTTGTTACTGCCTACATCAAAACATTCACTGGAATTAATGCTTAGTTGATGGTGTTCAAGGGTAAAAAGAAAAAGTCCACTGTATCAATCAGCAATGATGGACTATTTTAAAATATATACAAGTTTAAACAATTTTGGCTGAATACGCCACTTTTTTGCATAAAAATATTAAATTGTTGCTTACAACTATGCAAAAAACAATACAAAACCACCCTCCAGATCATCAGCTCGATACCCATGTTCTAGCATTGAAAAAGGGAAAGAAACATAAAAGCAAAAGAAAAAACAAAAACCATGTTGAAGAAAATACAAAGTATTTAGATTTTTGTTTTAAAGAGCATATTGAGTTCTTATTTGCTCTAGTTATTATGGTCAGTCTTTTAAACGGTTTCATCTACCACTAATAGCCCTGATTTCTCTTATTGTCAAAGCTATGTCATCAGAATTTGGTTTCCGCATTTTACTAATAGGACTTTATACCATTAATTTCAGTGTTTTGAAAATGTGAAAAGAATGTCATTCAAGGAGATATAAGAGACAATTGTATGGCCTCTGACAAACTATTATTCACTTTTCAGATAAGCATGGATACATTAAGATGATAGTGCTGGTTAAGAGCTCAAATTAAAAGATGTGAATTTGAGGGTAAATATTATTACATGATAAAAGATAATCTGTTAATCTCTGTATGAAATCAACCCTCAGCCCTTCCCACTCCTTTAACATCTCTCAACAGTCAACAGTAAACTAGTAAAAAAAAAAATTAATCTCAAAAAACAAGTGCTGTGTTTTCTGCTCCTCCTACAGCATTTCTTCAGGAACCTCAAATAACTAAAAATTCACCTCTAGAATTCTATCCCAGTAGAAAGGCCACTTAAAAGAAACACTTAGAAGCACTCTGAGCCTCACCTCCTCGAACTCCCAAAAAACAGAATGCAAAGTCAAAGGGGTAACAGAGTTTAATGCAAGGCCATATACAAGGATAGATGTGGGTAGGTCAAAGGAAAAAGAGCCTCAGACACTCCCCTGGCTCCAGCTGTGGGTGTAGTGATCCTAAAAAGAGTAGCCACCCTCAAGCTGTGTCCAGGCAGGTGGGAGAATAAATATGGTGATGTCCCTCTCCTTTTGACCTCTGATCTGTTCAACTCAAGTAGAAGCCAGGAGCAAAGGGAGCCTGAGTAATGTGGTGCACAGAGACTTGCCTCTGCTGAAAACAGTGGAACTGGGAAGTGGAGTGAGGAAGACAGAGAGAAAAAGAGGATTCAATATGATTAGATGTGAACATGGTTCTTCCACCCAGGAATGACTTGGAAATGTTCGGTCTCTAGCCTTCAGTTAAAAATCTTGTCAAAATGAAAATAATTGCAATAACTGTATTTAATATGACAATTCCTAAGTATTTATAAGTTTGCTTTTATTTTCTCAAGCAGTAGCTCGATTGCTGCTTGAATGGTACATAACACAATATACTTAATAAATAACGTCTGGGCAGAATAGGAAACCAACAAAAGACAGGGAACAGGGGTTTGGAACAGAACCAGAATGAGTTTCTCTTACCCCCAAGCAATTAAAATAGACAAAGGAAGGTTTGAGACACTCGTAGACACACCTAATTTGATTTTTATTTTCACAATATAATTTGTCATTATATGAGTCTATATTCTTCAACAGAGTTTCTGATGCTAATTCTAGGAAAAATTAATAAGTATGTTTCTGGCCTATGCCAAAGGCTTTTTATGTATTATGTCAATTAACCTCACAACAACCCTGTAAGGTACGTTCTATTTTCCCGTTTCTCACAGGAGAAAGGAAGGCTCAGAACTATTTTGTTACCTATCCAAGATCACAGAACAAATAAAATCTTTTATTTTAACCTAGTCTTCCTGAATCTGAGGCCCACGTTCTTGATCATTTACAATACTAGCTTCTTATAACCGGAAATATAAAGAAACACTAAGCATTTTCTTCTTACACATGTTCAAACACACACACCCCAAAACAAAAAGCACTTCCTTTATTGTATTAGTTGTAGGCACACATTAATCATGAAAATACACATTAAGAATTCTCAAGATATACTTACCACTACTTTCTTTAAGCCATCTGTTAATGTCTCTCATCCTATCAGGATTCTGTCTCCTTAAATCCCCTCTGCTCTGGTCTTTGGTCACATCTTTTCTCCTCAGGAAATTAAAATAAATCTGTCCACATTGACTTTATCTGCTTCACTTTGGCCTGTACACATAACATTTTTATTTGACAGGTACAGAAATTAGGTCTTCCTCTGACTTTTCTCTGTTGTTATTCATATTTATTTTTTTCTAAATTCAAATTTATGCTATCCCCCTTTTCTATCCTATAGCATTTGCATATTCTGCTCTTTGTTCTTCTCAACACAAAAGTACATTCTGATTTCTTTCTCATTTTATCTGTGCTCTGTTTCTGATGAGCTCTTTGAGTAGGGCCCTTTCTGACTGTCAATATTTTTTTCAATATCTTCTCATTATTTAAATTTATTAAATCTTACATTATATTCCACTGCCATTTGATATTTTCTTGAGTTGTTTATAAGCAGAACCTTTATGATATTATATATTTTAAATGCAGTATGTTTCTCAAGAACATGGAAGAAATAAGTAAACTTAATTCAAGTTGTTAATATTCAATCACCCAACAAACGTTTATTAAGCACTAGGTTTTTAAACATTTCTGAGTTCCACAAAAATGTTTCCCAGAGGTTTGCAGTTAGTTGACTCGGTTTCAGACAACCTACCAGGGTCTCCTTATTTTTCCAAATCCAATGAAAATAAATTATTTGACTGCTAAAAACCTGAATATTGACTTCAACAACCTCACCAAATTTAGAATACCTGTCCTTTTATAATATAATATAGTAGTATCTAAAATAGAGATATATTGGTGTATATTGTTAGGAGTGTCTCCCTTTTGTGGAACTCATTAGTTGGGAAAAAATGAAACCAAGACAAAAAAGCAAATTATTTAAGGAAAAGAGTTGCTTTTGTCAGCCATAGCATATACAATGTGCTTGCAATAAAATAATAGTTATGTACATTGTTTACCTGAAGTGCATACACGTTTTAATAATAATAGGGTTTTCTTCTAGCATATTTCAACACCACCATCACATTTCTTTGCAAGTATATAGTGACATATAAATGTTAGTCAATATTTAGTAAAAATCAGATACAATATTTTCAGTTCATCTAGTTATCACTGTTCATCCTTTCTGCATGTATTTGGCCTGATTACTTATTATTTGAAATAAATAAACATTGCATAAACTATGGTCTTATTTTTCACATGCTTTTGCTCCATTGCAACAGGGTATCTTTTGGTTTTGACCATCTTCCTTTATTTTTTACATTTTAGTAGTGTTTGGTGTACAGGTGATTTTTGGTTACATGGATGAGTTGTTTAGTGCTGAATTCTGAGATTTCAGTGCACTCATCACCCTGGCAGTATACACTGTACCCAATACCTAGTCTTTTATTCCTAACCCCCACCCCCAACTTCCCCTTCTGAATCCCCAAAGTCCATTACATCGCTCTGTATGTTTTGGCTTCCTCATAACTTAGCTCCCACTTAGAATTAAGAACGTATATTATTAGATTTCTCATTCCTGAGTTGCTTCGCTTAGAATAATGGCTTCCGGCTTCATCCAAGTTTCTGCAAAACATATTATTTCCTTCTTTCAAAGGCTGAGTAATATTCCGTGGTGTATATATATCACATATTCTTTAGCCACGTGTTGCTTGATGGACTCTTAGGTTGGTTCCATATTTTTGCAATTGTTAATTGTGCTGCTATAAACATAAATGTACCTATATCTTTTTATTTAATCACTTTTTTCCTTTGGGTAATTATCCAGTAGTAGAATTGTTAGATCTAATGGTAGATCTACTTTTAGTTTTTTAAGGAAAATCCATAATGTTTGCAATACTGGTTGTGCTAATTTACATTTCCACCAGCAGTGTAAAAGTGTTCCCTGTGTATCACATCCATGCCAATATCTATTGATTTTGGACTTTTAATTGTGGCCATTACTGCAGGAGTAAGGTGGTATCTCACTGTGGTTTTGATTTACATTTCCTTGATGATTAGTGATGTTCAGCAATTTTTCATGTTTGTTAGCCATTTGTATATCTTCTTTTGAGAATTGTCTATTCACGTCTTTTCCCCATTTCTAGATGGTTTTGTTTGTTTGTTTTTGTTTTTCCCTGATGATTTGTTTGAGTTATTGTAGATTCTGCATTATTGTTCTTTTTCTCCTATTTTTTGGGTTGTCTGTTTACTCGTGATTATTTGTTTTGCTGTGTAGAAGCTTTTTGGTTTAATTAGGTTCCATTTATTTATTTATTTTTTTGTCACATTTGCTTTTGGTGTTTTAGTAATGAATTCTTTGTCTAAGCCAATGTTCAGGAGAGTTTTTTCTAATGTTATCTTCTAGAACATTTATAGTTTCAAGTCTTAAATTTAAGTCTTTGATCCATCTTGAGTTCATTTTTGTATAGGATAAGAGATGGGGATCCACTTTCATTCTTCTACATGTGGCTTGCCAATTTTCCCAGCACTATTTATTGAATAGGGTGTCTATTCTCCAATGTATGTTTCTGTATGCTTTGTCAAAAATCATTTGGCTATAAGTATTTGGTTTTATTTCTGTGTTCTCTATTCTGGGAATTGCATTGAATCTATAAATTGTTTTGGAAATTATGGTCATTTTCATAATATTGATTCTGCCCATCCTTGAGTATGAGATATGTTTCTGTTTGTGACATCTACGATTTCTTTCAGCTGTGTTTTGTCATTTTTCTTTCAGAGATGTTTCATGTCCTTGGGTTACATATATCTGTAGGCATTTTACTTTTGCAGCCATTGTAAAATGGTTGGAGTTCTTAGATTGATTCTCAGAAATCAATGCATTGTTGATGCATAGCAGTGCTACTGATTTGTGTACATTGATTATATATCCTGAGACCTTACTAAATTGTTTATCAGATCTAGAAGCTTTTCAGGTAAGTCTTTAGAGTTTTCTGGGTATATAATTATATCATTGGTGAACAGTGAAAGTTTGACTTCCTGTTTTTCAATTTGGATATCCTTCATTTCTTTCTCTTATCTGATTCCTCTCTCTAGAACTTCCAGTACTATATTAAATAGAAGTGGCGAAAGGGGGTATCCTTGTCTTGTTCCAGTTCTCAGAGAGAATGCTTTCAACTTTTCCCCATTCAGTACAATATTGGCTATGTGCTTGTCACATAAAGCTTTTATTACTTTGAGGTAAGCCCCTTCTATGCCTGTTTTGTTGAGGGTTTTTGTTATAGAGAGATGCTGGAATTTATCAACTGCTTTTTCTGTGTCTATTGAGATTATCTTTTTTTGTGTTTTAATCTGTTTTTATGTGATGTATCAAATTTATTGACTTGCCTATGTTAACCCATCCCTGCATCCCTGGTATGAAACCCACTTGATTGTGATATACTATCTTCCTGGTGTGCAGTTTTATTTAGTTAGCTAATATTTTCTTGAGGACTTTTGCATCTATGTTCTTCAGGGATTGTGATCTGTAGTTTTCTTTTTTGTTATGTCCTTTCTTGGTATTGGTATTAGGCCAGGGAGAATTTCCTCAATTGTTTGTTCAAATAAGTTTTCCATACTTTTAGTCTTCTCTTCTCCTTCAGGAACACCAATCATTCTTAGGTTTGGCCATTTCACATAATCTCATAATTCTTAGATGCTTTGTTCAATTCTTTTGATTATTTTTTCTTTATCTTTGCCTAACTGGATTAATTTGAAAGCTTTGTCTTTGAGCTCTGAAATTCTTTCTTCTACTTGTTCTAGTCTATTATTTAAACTTTCCATTTCATTTTGTATTTTCCTATGTGTGTTTTTCATTTTATTTTCATATTTTGGTCTTTCTTTAGGGTATTCATCTCTCGACAAAATTTTTAATTAATATTCTGAATTGTTTCCTTAATTTCTTTATGCTGATTTTCATTTTTCTCTGGTATTTCCTTAAGGAGTTTAATAATCAACCTTCTGAATTTTTTATTGGATATTTCAAAGATTTCTTATTGGTTTGAAGTCGTTGCTTGGAAGCTACTATAATATTTTTGGGGTGTTATAGAATCCTGTTTTGTTATTATCAGAATTACTTTTGTGGCTCCTTCTCATTTGTATAGAAGTCATCAAATTGTCTTGAAATTTTTTACTGGACTGTGTTTTTTATTTTATTTTTTCCACTTACAGATGTGATTTTAATGTTTATAGTTATTGTAGGCTACTTTGGTTCTTGGTGCTTTTATGGGTAAAGACTCTGTAAAATTTCTTGGTTATATAAAATATTTCTGTGATGACTTTCTTAGATGTTGGTTGTAATAGTTATGTAGTTTGTGTGTGGGCATTTTCACTGTCTCCTGTGGAGTTGGAATGGAAGGATCTTTTAAAGTTCATCTTATTTCCCCATGGTGATCACTTTTTAATACCTTTTGCATAATGTATTAACTAGAAATAACTTTACTTGGTCAATCATAGCCAAGTCCCCTGAAACCAGCTGAGTTACCCAAGAACAGCTGAAAGAGCACACTCACCTATGTAGCAAAATAGTGGGAAGATTCATGAGTAGTGGTGACAAGTCTACCAAGCCTGGTGATAGCTTGTTCTCCAAGACAGAATCTTAGTTCAAGTTTAAACTTACCCACAGAATTACTTAATCTCTGTGTCAGTTCAACTGTTACTCCAAAGAGGGACAGCTCTTTAGATCCTAGGAAACAACCTTCCTACAGAGAGTAAAAAATATTACCTACAAGGAATAAAAAATTCAAGCTCAATATCTAACTATCTTAAATTCTAATCAATCCACTGAACTCCTAATATCACATTGGACTAAACTATTATTTAATAGAAGCAATAATGTTAATATAAATAACATAAAGATATTCTCCATTGCACAAGCTTACATCATACTGGAATAAATCCACTGACAGTTAACAGCCTAATAAGTGATATAATAAGCATCCTATTATTTATACTGTTAATCCAACGCAGGCAGGGTCTAAGGAAAGATTACAAAACGCAAAAGGAACTCAGCAAATCTTATCAAAAACATCACCTCTATCATTACCAGTATTAGAGACACTAGCTGCCCAGTGACATGTGCTCAACAGCTGCAGTATCCTGACCATGCAAAGGTAGCATCATCACTTGTTCCCTAAATAGGGACTTGTATGAATGGCCACATGAGGGTACAGCTGTCTCTTACTTTCAGTCAGTGAAATTGACCTATTTGTGAAGAGGCAGATATAAACAAATAAGATGAGAAGACCTTGTGGAGCTTTTATTCATTAATGCAAATAAACACTCTCAGAAAGCCTACAGGCCCTAGCCTGCTATCCCTGCATTAAAAATTTTGGTTGGGGTGACCTCGGAGCATAATTCAGCCTCCAAACAACCTAAACTAAGAACTGCATTAGTCTAAGTGACTTAATACTCATTGACCCAATAATTTGATCAATGGAATAAGTTACCCTATGGATAACAGCACAATCCTATTCTAGAGTTCACATCAACAATAGAGTTTACAATCTTGATGTTGGATCAGGACATCCTAATGGTGTAGCTGCTATTAAGAGTTTGTTTGTTCAATGATCAATGTCCTACATGATCTGAGTACAGACTGGAGTAATCCAGGTCAGTTTCTATCTATTTAACATTTCTCCCAGAACAAAAGAACAAGAGAAATAGGGCCCACTTCATAAAGCATTCTCTCCCCATAGATGATGCTATTCCCATCTAACAAACCATCACCCATCCTACCCCAAAACAGGGTTTGTTACGATGGCAGAGCCTAGCAATTGCATAAAACTTGAAACTTTATAATCAGAAGTTCAGCTCCTCTTCTTAATAATATGCCTATAATTAACCTTCTCCTATTTGTTAATCTCTCTCTAATCACTATAGCATTCCATACACTCATTGGATGAAAGATCTTAGGCTATATACAACTACGCAAAAGACCGAACATTTTAGGTCTCTATGGGTGGCTCCAACCATTCGCTGATCCAATAAAACTTTTCACCAAAAAGCCCTTGTGGCCCTCAACATCTATTACCCTATTATTGCTCCAACCCTGGCCCTTTCCATCACTCTTATGAACTCCCCTCCCCATACCAGACCCTCTAACTAATTTTAATATGGGCCTCCTATTTATATTAGCCACATCAAGCCTAGGCATCTACTCTATTTTATGATCAGGATGAGCATCTCATTGAAATTATGCACAAATCGGCTCATGATGAGGTGTGGCCCACACAATTTCACATGAGGTCACCCGAACCATCATCCTGCTATCAGTTCTACTGATAAGTGGGTCATTTAACTTATATGTACACAACGTAAGAATTCCTCTGACAGCTTCTACCATCTTGGCCCCTAGCTGCAATATGATTTATCTCCACACTAGTAGAAACTAGCCGAACCCCTTCTGATCTAGCAGAAGGAGAGTCAGAATTAGTCTCAGGCTTCAACATCGAATATGCCACAGGTTCATTTGCCCTCTTCTTTATAGCAGAATACATGAATATTATCATAATAAATGCCCTAACTACTGCTGTTTTCCTAGGAGCACTACACACTATGTATTCACCAGAACTCTGTACCATAAATTTTATTATCAAGACTCCTTTTCACCTCCCTGTTTTTACAAATTCGAACAGCATACCCTCAATTCTGCTACAACCAATTCATATATCGTCTATGAAAAAATTTCTTATCATTTACACTAGCATTCTGCATGTGATATATCTCAATGTCTGTTCTAATATCCAGCATTCCACCCCAAACATAGAAAACATGTCGGACAAAAGAATTACTTTGATGGAGTAAATAATAGAGGTTAACACCCTCCAGGCATCTGGTGATGTGACCTGTCTTCAAGCCTTCCAAGAGTGGGTACTACTGGTGTAGGTGGCAAGGGAATAACATAGACTCTGTGAGATTCCTTCATTGTAGGTAGGCTTAGTGTGCTGGTTTTCTCAAATGCTGGTTATGACTGTAATGAACTTGTCACATAGGCAGACTCAGGACCTCTGTTTAGTGAGGGTGTTTTATGCAGTGGTGATAGCTGAGGTCATGTATTTATTTTCTTCTCCCTGGATGCAGTGTTCTTCTACCTGGAGACATGATAATGGACTGTCAGTAGCCTCTAGCCAGGAGGTGGTGGTTGCAACAGGGCATCAGTAGCAGGGGATTTGAGCTTGCCCCAAATTACCCAGGGTAAGTAACCTGGTTTTTCAGGCAATGAGCAGGGCTACAAAAGCTCCCAAAAGTGTATGTCTTTTGGGTTAATCTCTCAGGGTAGGTGGAGGAGTACACCATGTTAGGGCAGGGTTAGCTATGGAAATCTGCTTTTAAGTCTGGAGATTTTTGGTATTAAATAGTGAGTGAGAAAATGCATATGGAGTTAATACCATCAACTCAGTTTATCAAAACAGAAATTTAGAAATTATTCTTCACTCTTCCTTCTTTCACTAGTCTTCAACTAGACAGTTGATTAAATAGAGACTCACTACTTAACTTCAAACCACTATTGACTTTTATTGGGGCTACTGAGATGACTCCCATGAAGTCTCCTGCTTTCAGTGTGGCTTTCCTCTAAATATCAATGTCCTACGTCAAAGCTTTCAGAGGTTTTTTGTTTTGTTTTGTTTTTGTTTATTTGTTTGTTTTGGCATATGGGTAAAATTCAAAGGCTTTGAAATGTCACAAAAAATTCATAATCTGTATCTTGTGAATCTCACTTGCTCCATTCTTCATATGCAAACATTTCTTTGCTCTGATATGCAAAATATTTATAATTCTTTTATTCATGTCTCCTCATCTTTGCACATATTATATTGTTCTCTCTTGATTGCTTGAAAATCTACCAATGTCCTTCAAGAGTTAACTCGTGTGAACTTTTCTAAGAGGACTTGTTTAGCATTAGAATAGTTTTCAGCAAGTACATTTTGAACACCCCCTTTCAAAAATATTGCACTAGGTTGCTGAGATAAAATATTGAATAATTTCCTTGCCTTTGAAAATGGCACAGATTATTATTTACCAACTATATTCCTTTCTCTGTAGTTCCATAGTATCTTATATGAACCACAAATATTACTAGTGTCATAATATACCACAGTGGTTAACTTATGTGTCAGCCTCTCCCTTTAAAATACAAATGTCATTGGTTTAATGATTATGTCTTACTCATTACTATGTCTACAAATTCTGTGGATGTCTTTACTAAATATTTATAAATGAATGCAAAATGATCCTGTTCTTAGGATAACTTATTTCTAGTACTTGAGAAATGGAGATTCACTGATTTTCATAAAGTAATGATTTACTTTATGAAAGTAAGTCAGCACCATGACTGCAAGCTGCTTAAGTTTGAGAGCCATAACTTCTCCTTCTTTTTAATCTCCTTAAATTGCCATTGAGCTTTCCATTTACTGAACTTAATATGTGTTCATAATGGATTAAACATAACCATGATTTGAAGACACTGGTGAAAAACAAAAGCCACATATATAAAACAATAGACAATTTTTCCAGGATGTAACCATTTTAACATTTTATTATTGCATGAGGACTAACATCGTCACTGTTAAGGACTTTTTATGTTCATTAAAAACAAATGCGTATTATTTGGAAGCTCTTTGATTTTATTTAAGTTAGAAATACAAAGAAAAATCTGATATAATAAAGATC